CCATGAGTCTGTTTGCTTCGTTTTCTCCTTCAAATGCCATCTATTGCTTCAGCTGTGGAAGGAAGACACTGTGGCTGTACAAACGAAGATGCCTCCAGATACAAGTTCAGAGACCAGATTGGGCCAGGAGTGCAAGTATCTGGTGACCACAAAAAAGCAGTCTGCAGTGAAGCAGGAGGAGGTTGACTCCAACCATGATGGTCAAGGACTGGTTCACTGGAGGAAAACTGAGGTGGTCTGTCAGGCCAGCCAGGTAGGCACCATGAAACAGCAGCAGCCCCTTGTAGCCCCAAACCAGAGCAATCCAGACATCAGAGTACAGCGAAGCACAGAAGTGTGTGTTGGTCAAAGAGCAGGACACATCACTCCCTGTCACTGTCATGCTGACACCAAGGATCCACAGACACTGGATGAGATCAGTAGCATCCATGTCAGGAGCAGAATCACATCAGCCAGCATGAGGGTTGCCACCAACCCCAGCCAGTGCAGGTCATTGATAATCACTCCCTTGTCTGGGATCCTCTGTGTAAACACCTTGTAGAATCACCAACTCTTCCCCAGAATGGGGCTAAACACAAGGGATATCCCAGGGCATAGCATGGACAGTCTCATCTGAATGAGAGCTTCCACTGAGCTACCCATGGAAGCATCTGTAATGCAAACAACTGCCCAATAAGTGAAATAAGACAGAATCAGAAAGACAAGTGTTGCATGTTTTGTTCATCTGTGGAATCCAGACTTTAAAATTATCTATTCAGATATGGAAATAGAAGGGTAAATGTTTGGGAGGTGAAGGGACCAGCAGGAGGTGGAGGGGGAGAAGGGAGCAGATGAAGAGATGTGATCAAAATATATATTAGATTATATGTTATATATATGCGAGAAAATTTCATGATGAAATCCATCATTTTGTACACAATAATTTCCAGTTCCATTCACTTTCCTGCATAATTTCATTGTGGCTGAATTAAATTCCACTGTGTACACACACTACATTTTCTTTATCCATTTATTTGTTGACGGATTGTGAGTCTGGTTCCATAACTTGGCTATTTTTTAAAGTGCCACAATAAACACGGACATGCAAGTTAAAACAACAACAACAACAACAGAAAAAAGCTACTGCCCAACAAGCTCACAGTGTTCAGGTTGGGGCTGGACATCTTTACAATCCTGTTCTTCCTGAAGTGAACTGTGAAAGCAAGAAAGAGCACTGTCAGAAGTAGCCCACAGCTGAGCAAAGTCCAAAGGCCACCAGACGGCAGGAAAGAATGCGGAGACGACCATACTGCCGTCCTGGAAGAGGTAATAGTTGTCTTGCAGAGATCATGAAGGGGTCTCCCATCCAGGTCCTGGCCAGGAAAACGGTCACAAAATTAAGAGCAGCTGATTTCAGGCTCCATGTCATCATATCGAGGGGGACTTATTCAGGCTTTGATATACTTGCTGGTAAGGATGTAGACCGTCTACTAAAACGCAGACACAAATCTTCTTTTCAGAGGCCCCAACTCAGAACCGCCTCCTGACTCAGAATAGGCTGAAAACCATTGTCGGGTGGAAGTGAAGAGCTGTTGTATTAGGCTCCTTCATCAGACAAGCTCCAACATGTCACATTCTTCAGCTGGTTCCTTAAGGCCGGTGTATGTCACGTGATTAAGTCTGGGCATATCACATGATTAAGCATGGACAGCTCTGGTCATTCAAAGTGATGATTCTGGTTCACCACCAGAGGGCAGTAACAGCTCCAAGCGCTCTCAGATTGTGCCCTCACTGGCTGACTACAGAGAAGCTGGAGTCCTCAGGTCTCTCCTGGGCTTCCGTGGCTGGAAGGCAGAGGGAGGGACCAGGACCGCACCCATGGTCATGCACAGCAGCAGGAGCAGCAGTGCTCATGATTTCATTTTTACTATCACTCCTGGGTCTTACCACCAAGACACTTGCACATCCATGTTTATTGCTGCACCATTCCAAGTATCTAGGAAATGCAACAACTATAGAAGTCCAACTGATGCATGAATGATGAAAGCCGGGTACATACCACAGTGGAACAGTATTCAGTTATAAAGGAAAACAGTTCTTAAAGATGTCGTAATTATCATGATAGAGACCCAATCTGTAAGTCAAACTATCTCCAAGGATGAATTGTTACTAACTCAAGAACATATTCCATTGTTCCCTCTGTTGGGATGTGGTTGTACTGTCTACCACAGCCATCTTTACTGAAGGACTCTGCAGCTTGGCTGTTGGTACAGCCCATGCTCTGGGAATGGCAAACCCATTGCCAAGACCAGACCTGGAGGATGAGAGTCTGAGATTCTGGATATTGTCGTTTCCAAGATCATTCATATATATACACACATATATATATATGTGTGTGTGTGTATGTATATATATATATATATCATACATTATGTGTTTTATTTCAGGAATTCAGTAATCTCATCCACTTTAGTTTTTGGCTTACACTTTCTTTTTAAGACTTTTTTTTTCTGTGACAAATAAATTTTTAGTGTGTATGTGGCTAGAAAGGAAGTTATTTTCCACTTTGATCCTGACATTGAATCATGGTGCTTCTTTGATTTCAACATGTAAACTTAGCACTTTGTTGAATAAACACTAGACACATCCACCTCTTTGAAATATATTAATAATGACTCAGTAGTATGTACACACACCAATATTTGTCTCTTAGTGCTTACTGTGCACTTACTCTCTGATCTAAGACCTACTTTGTTTCATTCATCACAGTTTTATGTGCCGAGTCTCATAAATTTATAGTGCATTTATCTGGAGGCCTCACGAGTTACGAAACTTGCCACAAGGTGGCAATAGACCTCAGTTGATAGAGAGAGCCGAGAATTCACTTCAGTGCAGGTAGAAGGAGCAAAGCCCATTTATCCCATTGGCTGGGTTCAACTGGAGGACTAGACATGTTCTGAGAAAGAGGAAGCACCAGGCAGGAGCAGCTACCTGGCTAGCGATCACATTTTACGGCAGAGTTTCATCGGGAGGAGCAATGAGGGCTTGTGATCCCACTTTTCTCACGTTCCTGTGGCTGCAGCTGGACTGTGAGTGCATGTTCTGGAGGAACAGAATAACCAGTGGGCACTCCTGAGACATCAGGGAGAACTCTGCTATTCTGGCTTCCTCTACTTACTATAGAAAATGACCTGACCATCTTTTTCTTCCCTCACAGGGGTCAGCCGAGGAGAGAAGGTGGAGCAGCTTCCTTCCACCCTGAGTGTCTGGGAGGGAGACAGCAGTGAGATCAACTGTACTTATTCAGACAGTGCCTCTAGCTACTTCCCTTGGTATAAGCAAGAACCTGGAAAGGGTCCCCAGCTCATCATTGACATTCGTTCAAATTCAGAGAGAAAACAGAACCAAAGACTCACTGTCTCACTGGATAAGAAAGCCAAACACTTCTCCCTGCACATCGCAGCCACCCAGCCTGGAGATGCAGCCCTCTACTTCTGTGCAGCAAGTACACACTGCTCCCCAGGCACCTGCAGCCTGTCCTCAAACCTGCTCCTGGGGCTGGAGCTCCACTCTAGGTCTTCATATCACAGATCTAGTGTTACATTTGCTAGATGTTTGTTAAGTACAGCTACCATATAGACATTAAAAGTACACAATAAGGAAGTGGGTTGCAAGTCCCCCAAAACAACTTAGAATATTTTGTTAACTTATTGTTACTTAATAGATTTTTAGTTTTTGTTTCTTTCATCTATTTAAAGCATGTGGCATGAGGTTTTGATATACAGAGCAGAGAGAACGACGAAGAAATAAACAACAAGAGCTCAAGTCCTGGGAAAGGAGAACAAAGCTCCCTCATTCTGTGCACCACAGCAAATTCAGACACCTCTGTGTGTTCAGCAATCCTAGAGCCACAATAGACAGAGACTTAAAAGAATGACTGACATTTGTCTTACGATCTATGCTTTAACGCGGCTGTATTATGATGGCTAATCAGACTTCTCATTTAAATAAGCCTGCAGGGTCAGTATCGCGCTCCTTTTTCTGCACAGGTTTTCACCTGTTTGTTACTGTCAATGATGACAAAACATTCATGGAAAATTGGTGATATTGTTTAGACTGTAGTCAGCCAGTAACATGTCAAAATTGGTTCAAAGAATACAAAGAAGTAGATACATAGGATCAAAAAAATTAAGTGTCTAATGTGCAATTTAAGAATTACAGTAGAAATAATTACTTTTGTTAATAATGATTTTGTTAAATAAGTGCATTTTACCTGTTCTTGTCAAATACAAAAATTATAAAGATGAAAGAGGCTAAAGGTGTTAATTTGGTTCACTCTATAATCATTTTACTAACCATATGTTTCAGATAACATCCTATTGTAAACCTCAGCTATATATAGCACAATTTTAAAGAAATGTGTATTTTTCCAATTATTTATGTCTTTCATAATAAGAATCCCCTTTTTATAATATTTATAGGTATTCCTAGGGGTGTAAATTTTAATTGGTTGTGTGTGAAAAAAATTTTGCACATTAGTAATCAACTTCACAGATGCTTATCAATGGATGATAGAATTTGGAGGGGCTGAGAGATGACTCAGCATTTAAGAACACTAAGAACACTGGCTGTTCTTGCAGAAGACCTGGGTTTGAGTCCCAGCACCCACATGGTGGCTAACAACCATCCCAACTCCAGTTTCAGGGGATCCAACACCCTCTTCTGTCCTCTGGAGGCACTGTATAACATGGGTGCACTTATATACATGCAGACAGATATTACACACATAAAATTAAATCAAGAAAAAATTTAACAAAGAAATAATTTGAATTAGTACTTATTCTATGAATAGTTTGCCACAATTCTCCATGCCTATCCTGTTTCTTTAAAAAAAAATTTCTTTTAGTATAATTTTATTTACATTTATTTATTTATTTATTTATTGATTGATTGATTGATTGGTGTTTTTGAGACAGGGTTTTCCTGTAGCCCCAGCTGTCCTGGAACGCATTATGTAGACCAGGCTGGCCTTGAACTCACAGAGATCCACCTGCCTCTGCCTCCCAAGTGCTGGGACTACAGGTGTGCACTGCCATGCCTGGCAACTTTTTTGTTTGAGAATTACATATGTGAGTACTGCATTAATATAATTTCTAACCCTCCCTCTCCACTTCCATCTCCTCCCACATCTTACTAACTTGTTCTAATTTTTGTGACCTCTTCTTTAATTATTATTGCATACACCACACACACACACACACACACACACACACACACACACACACACACACGAACTGAGTCCATTTGATGTTGCTGCTTATATGCATTTGTGTTGAGGGCTGACCACTTGCATGGATAGCCTATCTGGGAACTTGTCTTTGGAGATAACCTATTCTCCCTCTCTCAGCAGCCATTGCCTATAATTCTGCCTCTGGAGGTGGGACCTTGTGAAATTTCCCCCATCTATGTTGGCATGTCAATTGGTGTTGACATTAGGTCGGTCTTGTTTAAGGAACCATATTGTTAAGATTTCATGGATGCAGCTTCCCTGGTGTGTCTTGAAGAAACAATCTAGCAGCCAGTGTCCTGGTCCTCTGGTTCTTACAATCTTTCCGCTCCCTCTTCCACGATATTCCCTGGGCCTTATGTGTGGAGCTGTGTGGTAGCTGTTACAGTTGAGGCTGGGCACCCCATGCTCACTGGTTCTCTCTGTTGACCAGCTGTGAAACTCAGTAATAGACTCCATTTGTAATAAAATGGGGTGAGAGCTACACTTATCTGTGAGTCTTAGGATAAATATTTAGAATGTAGTTAGAAATTATATTTGTTTAGAAAAATGGCAATGATAGATTCTCTTCTAGGGGCTATAATCTCTCCAGCTATAGGAATTTAGCTAGGTTTTCAGTACCAGGCATGAATTACCTCCTATTGAGTGAGCCTTAAGTCCAACTACTTAGGAGTTGGCTATATACATAAATATATATATACATATACATACATACACACACACACACACACACACATATATACACACACACACACATGAGATCATGGAAAAATAATGTTTCCCCACCAGTTTTTCAAGCGCCTCTAGTGTTAGTCTTTGTCCTTCCTCATTCTCCCTCTGTATTACCCTCCCTTTCCCCTCACCAATCACCTTTCCGCATTTTCACCATTTTGCCCTTGCTAGCACCTGTGTCCTATTCCCTTCTCTAGAGCTCCTTTTCACCCCTTTACTCCATGGCCCCTTCCTACTTTTCTGGCTTCTGCAGCGACTTCAGGTTGTACTTTACTCAATAAACTGTTTTCCAGTGTTGTCCATTTACCTGCAATTTTCATGATTTGATTTTTCTTTAAAATATGTTGTTTATTTTATGTGTATGAGTGCACTGCCTGCTTGTGTGTAAGTGCACCTCTGTCATGCAATGCCCATGGATGTCAGAAGAAAGTATTGCATCCCCTAGAACTGGAGTTATGGATGGCTGTTAGTCACCATGTGGCTGCTGGAAATTAAATCTGGGTTCACCGCAAGAGCAGTTAGTACTCTTAACTGCTGAGCCATCTCTGCATTCTCTGTTTTCTTTGAAGCTGAATAGAATTCCATTGTGTATATATATCATATTTTTATTATCCATTCACCAGTTGAAAGATATTATGGTTGTTTTCATTTCCTAGCTATTGTGGAAAAAAAAAACAATGAACATGCCTGAACAAGTATTTCTATAGTAGAATACCATGTCCTCTGGGTCTGTACTAAGTAGTGGTATAACTGGCTTGTATGGTAGATCTACGTTTACCTTTTTGAGAATTCTCCACACTGATTTCCATAGTGGCTGCCCCAGTTTGCAATTCTACCAGCAGTGAATAAGGTTCCCCTTTCTCTGAATCCTTGTCAGTATTTGCTGTAAGTTGTTTTCTTTATGTTAGCCATTCTGAATGAGGTAAGACGAAATCTTTTTAATTTGCATTTCCCTGGTGGCTAAGGATGTTGAACACTTTTGGAAGATATTTCTTGGCCATTTTTATCTTTTAGGGCTGGCAAGGTGGCTCAGAGGGAAAAAGCCTCCTGAAAACTCCAGATACACCCCAGATCATGTGTACAAGCTTACACACACACACACACACACACACACACACACACACACACACTACTA